CCTACAGGATTAAAATATTAAATACGATAGAGTTACTTTAGCTATCGTCGAGAACTCATTGGCAAAAAAAAGTGAAAAATCCTTACTTTAACGTACTCCAAAAGTATGCCAAAGCTATTATGTACAGTTTCGAAACTATTTCAAGTCTAACATCAACATGCGTAACGAGCATATTAGTTTCAGTTGCTTTTATACAAGTCTATCCGACACTAAAGTCTAAATGATTGATTATACTTCAATGTTTGAGTATCACTAAAGTACGATGAATTATTTAAGCATTATTGCCGTAAAGGGTTATAAAGAATCAGCTAGACTAATATGCACACGATACATGTTAATATTAAGCTTGACATAGCTAAAAAGTTAAAAAGAATAACTTTGGCTTTCCTTTGACGTACTCTGAAATACTGTGACACGCGGAATTGACGTCTTTTCTCCCTTGACGAAACCTCATTCATTTTATATCGAAATACTGTTTGAACTGTTGCTGGAAATGAATGGCAAGTGATCTTGTGTCCATTTTCTTCAGCATGCCAAAGGTTCTCAGAGCTGTTTTCATATGCAAATAGTATTCATTAAGGTTTGAAAAAGTAAATTTCAAATAATATTGCTAAGAATCTTCTCTCATGGACGCAATATATGCATAGTATATGAAAAGCTCATTGCCGATTATCTAGCATGAATAAGTTCCTCTCAATCTCATACGTGGTCGAAGCCATTTTTTGTATATCGGTATCATTCATTGAGGCTAACAAAGCTAGGGAAAGGTTAGCTTCATAAATTCTGTTCATTACCCTTTCACTAAGGCATATTCTGAGGTTCTATAATCCATGCGTGGCACGTAATCATGTATGACCACCGTTCCCTTATTTAAATGAACTTCAAGCCGTTATTATGTGTAACAAAATACTGGTATTGACGAGAAATCTTTAGGCAAAATAAGCTAGGAAATATCTTGCAAGTAAAATATATAGAAGAAATGTATTAACACAAGTCAGACTGTTTAAGACTTTCCTAAATTTGCTTCTTATATCTTTTCTTAGATATTTTTATTGCTTAGTGCTTTTTGAAACTAGGTCTTTTCTATTGCTAGATTTTTTAATCCTAGATCTTATGACATATAATAAATGTGACCCAATAACATTAAACAACCAGGACTTTGGGATTTAACCGCCCGTCGTCTTTGATTTGAAAAGTAAATCAAAATGCATACCTGTCACATCGTTAGTAGATCTTGAACCAAGAGTAGAACCGAGAACAGCTGCTAGGATTAATATAGCTGTCAATATGCTGACTGGAATTATGAATCTCTTCGTGTAATACCAACGACGTCTTGATAATTTAATGAAACGTTACGTCAAAAATACAATTAGATGAAGATATGTCGAGACTTACTCAGTTTTTTTTGGATAAAGACATGCACCTATAGGTAGAAATATTTCAATTCAAAATAAACCATTTAGATTATTCAACACGTCTCACAATAGAGTTGTTTGCGTTATCAATTAAGAAGATTAGACTTAACCGGTTCAAGTTTAAGCTCTGACAGGCAAATTTACAAGTTTAAAATATAGGCTGCTGTTTGTACGCGCTGACCGGATATCGAAGTTTTAAGGCATGTATACTGTATATAGGCTGGCCACAATCCAAAATTTCACCAGAATTTTTCATCTGTTTTCTTGATGGCTGGATAGAGCTCACCGAGTTACAGTAGAAAAAATATGTTTTATATTTTTAAAAGAGATTTAAAGAATCTTAGACAAAAAAGTTCAAGTTGCTATGCTATGATTTCCAAATATAATGAGAAATATACTCGAAACTCTCACTTTCGTATATTTTTTTAAATCTTTGTTTTTTAAAATATGAAGTATATTTTTTTTTGCTGTAACTTGACGAGCTCGATTCGATCATTAAGCAAACAGAAGAAAAATTCTAGTGAAATTTTGGACTATGGCCATCTGAAACGCACTGTACGTACCTTGAAACTTAAATATCTCAGTCTATGCACATTAACAGCAATATATATTTTAAAATTTGTAAATGTGGCGGCCAGAGCTTCAATCTTACCTGAATACGTCTAATCTGCTTGATTGACAACACAAATACCTCCATTGTTAGTAGCAGAAGAATTAGACATAATATAAGATAAAGGAAGCTGACTGATTGCCGTAAAAAGTTACCTTCGGAGAAAAGCTAATAGAAACGAAACTGTAACACTTTCAACTTCACTCAAGTGTGACTAATACTACAATATGACGTTAAACCGCTGTCTTTAAGATTCATCGGATATTCACATATAACCTATAGGGTGTGCGTAAGGTTACTTAGCAAAAACATTGTGTGTCTCATTCCTACTTTCATTGAATCAGCTTACGTTACCAAACGGTTCGCAAAATTTCCAAGGTTTTTATTCATATATCAACGAATTATTGACACATTTGAAATCTAGCACTACAAGCTGCAATGCAGAATTTGACTTTTTCCCAGACACTTACACATCAGTGGTTTACCACCAAACAGCGAAGGTATCTGAAATATTTTATCAAGCACTTTTCGCTGATCATTTTAACAAAATTAACGCTCTATTCTCTGGAACGTCATAGGTCAGGAGTCATTTAATTCAGCATCTCTATTTGTCGACGAACGTAGAAGATATTTTGAATGAAATGGTCAGTGGAAAAGCCTCCGCAGAATGGAATTTGTCAAAAAACTTTCGGATACGTTTCACATTCTTATGGTTGATAGTTCATGGGCGCACCCTATTAAAATTTAACTATATTTACGCGAATTCGTCAGGATTTCTCTTTGTCAAAACATTTGAGAGGATTTAGTGAAGCTTTTGAGAAGGCAGAAAGTTTTGAATAGATAATACTACTTCTCAGCAATGTTACTAATTTTTTTTTCACACAGGAATAAACAATTGGAACGCTTCTCAATCATCAGGAACAAAAGGCTCATTTGGTCAAAATAACGTGAAGATTATAATTTTTTGGATAGGAGACTGTTTGAATTTTCTGTACGTGTTTCATTTTTCGGTATTTTTCCTTTATGGTGATTACTATTTTATTTATTCATGCAGACGGATATGACATTAATCGTGATTCATAATAATATAATAAACAGCTCAGTGATCCTCTCCAGCTATATATTACAAGTCTGAGGTTAATTTGATTTATCCTATTGAAGCTATTTATTAGTTAATCAAAAAATCAGTCTGACGTATAAGTCTTCTTCTTCTTGAACTTCCAAGAGAAATCCATACATATCTCATAAACATAACTTATACTCATAGATCACTTACATACATCGATCTATAGGACAGAATATGTGATTGAGAGACAGACAAAAATGTCATACGACATATATACGATGGATAGGAACATAATGTGTCAAAGAAATATAGAGAATGCCTTGTCAGAATGATCACAGTTTAAGATAGTATTTCTAAAAGAAAAAGCACTCGCACAATTCGCTGGGAATCTGAGTATTTGATAATAATACAATAGAAAGTCTTTTCATATAAACACATAGATGACATGTAAATCGTTTATGAGTTTGACAAATAGCTATTCGCTGTACGACAGAGTTAATGATGACTCTTGAATGAAGCCAAATGCTCTAAAATTTCAAATCTATTAATACTATCAGTTCATAATTTTTACAACAGCCATGCTACAGCTTCTCATCTTTTAGCTTTCCAATATACCTTCAAATGGAGGCTCGAGTAAAATATTATCTGGTACCATCTGTTTCAAATGAACGATGTAGAGATCAGGCGCCGGATTGAATTGTGATTGCACTTCCATGTATGTCCCTGGCAGCAATAACATTTCGTCCTCGGTGACAAAATATGCATGATTCCGTATATTCCTAGCGTTGAAAGTTTCGATGGAGAAGAGAGTTCTAGTCCCTTCCTGACCCAAGTAGAGATCATTCTCTAGTACAGGAAGCGTTGTTGTGCAAGATGATAAACTCCACCAGATCACCTGAGTTCCCCGAGGAAATTCGGAACTAAGATCTTTTCGTATCCCACGCCAAATCGTCTGTTGAGGTGCACATTGTATTTTGACCAAGGCAGTCAGTAAAAGTTTCAGGTACTTGAACCAAGGTTGTAAGTGTTCGCGATCAGCTGTTCTGAGTGTCTCATTGAGAATGGAATAGAGACTTCTATGTCCATCACTCCATTCCATCGTGTAGAGATGAATCGAAGCTGATTCGTCGCTTGTCAGACCATCTGATGGATTATCGGGAGTGTTTTCCAGAGCATTCGAAACATACACCAATATATTAAAAATAATAGGAACCAACGGTTTGCATGCATCGACAAGCGGAAGAAGTGGTTCTTGAGCATAGCCGATGATAGGACCAACTGTTTTTGAATCATCAGAGTCTGGGATCACTAAACGAGCATTTTCGCGCCGAACTTGCAATTCAACATATTGACTCATGTTTTTTGAATTATTGTTTCATTGATAATGCTTGAATATATTCAAGATATCGAATATATGTTTTGGTATCTATAACAAGAGAAAGATATGAAAACAAAGAAATAAATGATTGATTGAATTTTGTTTTTGTTGTGTATCAACAAAAATTATTTTTTGTAGGAGGGGAACTAATAAAGAAGAATGAACATTTCGTCAGAATTTGATCTGCTGGCGATAAACATTCTGAATTATTGTGCAGCAACGCATACAAAAGGAAAAATGAAGAAATACACACAAGAATATACTTTTAGATATTTCTTGCTGTAACAATAAATTGTTCAATGCACTAAAGATAACAAAAAAGAAAAAAAATACTACATCCTCTTCTATTTTTGGTGAAAATAAAAATGTAAGCACAAATGAGAGATATAAGTAAAAAAGGCTATCTTTCTCTCTACCGTGAGGCATTGTCTCTGTTCTGACTCAAAAAAAAAACAAAAAATTTCTCCTACAATAATAAGAATATGTTCCATGTGAAGAAATTTTCTGAATAGGTTTCTACAAAATAATTTTCGAGATTTTCTAGATTATAAATTCTAGTATGTAAGAAACGGTAACTAAAACGAAAATATCGATGTTTGTATCGATGACAGGTTGATTTCAATACTCTCGTTCAATATCCATTTTTAAATTCGCTTTTCCTTGTATTTTCTATCCATGTGTACCTTAATGTTAATATATTGTCAGATTGCGAAGTAGGCTTGACAATCCTATAGTATTTCTTCCTCTATACTTTAGAATTTGTAGTTTTCAAGTTCTATTTCAATTTCTGTTCTTTATAATGCTTTAACTAAAGTATTTTTTAAAATTCTATTACTGGTATTTGGTGCTGTAGTTTCAAACTTACATTAATCTGTCGCTTGCACATCTCAATGCTTCGAATAACACTTACTACAATTAGAGAAATCTGTCGTCTATTGAAAATTAATCTACACTATTATCGACTAGGTGTCGTATCTTTTCAAGTACCTGATTTCAAGATTAATTTAGTCCAATACTAATATGTCGACTTTCAAAAATCGGATGTGGCTTTTCTACGTCTGTCATAGTCAAATGAAGATTGCTGAATATTAAATAGATAGGGAGATTGTGGATAGACGATATAAAACCAACGACATAAAGAATTGTTACTTGTAGATAATGAATACAAGACTATCTACCGAAAAAAGTGAATCATCTTTCAGAAAATAGTAGCTATGTCGAAATTTTCTGTCATTCTTAAAAGGTTCACTGTGTCAAATATACTGACAAAGGAAGATGAAATACAAAAACCTGAATCTTTTGTATTCTTTCAGAGTTTTCTGATTTCACTATTGAAATTTTTCATTTACAGATTTTTCTTTAAAGATATTCACTCGAATATCGGTCTTCGAGTTCTAGAATATGAATTTCGAACTCTAAAACGACTTAGGTTCTCTATTACAATATGGTCTTTTGGTTCTTGTCACAAGTCGTAACAAAGTTTTCGATATGGAACGAGAAAAACTTTTTTTTTAAAATATTTTATGCGAATTAGTAGCATCGAGGGTTAAAGTTTTTATACAGTTCTCAATGAGATCCTTGTATCCACAAGAAGTTAATAGATTACACAAATCCAGTTTTGATTATTCTAAAAATATTTTTACTAACATAAAATTTCATCATCTTTCAGTCTTCAGACAAGTGAATCGACATTCGATGAACATTACTTGTTTTTTTATGAAAATAATTTATGATATACTTTGACTTCTTGAACATAGCAATAAAAAACAACTATGTGTTATTAGATGATTTTCATAGATTCAGTTTTTTACATTAAATCTGAAACAAGCAGTTTTGAAATTCAAAGAAAAGAAAAACAACTGACACTTTTTCAGTTATCATGATTTTTTTTTCATAACAAGTAGTTCATCAGCAAAAGCCGAAATTTCTGCCCTCACTACTAATTCCAACAAAAAAACTTAAAGATTCTGGATCAGCTCGTCACCCTCTACGTAACCATATAGACATATATGGTTAGTTGCTTTAATTTTGTTTCTTCAGTGCCTTATATATATAAATAAATATAAATCTCAAAACTCTTATACCATCCAGTCTCCCATCTGAAAAATGGGCTTATATACATTTAAATATGGATGAATAATTCTGAGGCTTTCTTCCCCTAGCTACGTATTCCTATTTGAATCCGAGAGCTGCATTCCTCTAAATTCAAATTGACTAAAAGGAAGTTAACTGCTATAGTACGAAAATAATACTATACATTGTCACTACTGGAGGACAGAAAAATCCCCTTTATACTTATTACTAGAGGGAATCTTCTAAACAGATTACAGTTTCGCAGATATATACATTTGCTCGTTGGATTCGTAGAGAATCTTGTCTGTTCAGGACGATAATATCACTGTAATGTGTCGACGTTGTTATATGCTTCAAACTAAAGCATAATATTGCTTATATGTACGTTGAAAACTATGTATTGCTTCGCGCATTCAACCGTATCGCGAAAAGTGATGAGATTAATTTTAATACATACCTTGGTTTTTTCTCTTGCAAATTTTACCATTGTTTTGCTTGTTCTCTCGTTCGTTCTTCGTACAGGTATATAATACTAATACAGAAAAAAATGTGCATGACGATATGTGCAAAATAATCATGACCATATCATCAAAGCATACATTGTTGTTTTTTTATTGGAAATTTTAGGGTATCATTTAAGTAGCCAGTGGAATTAATGAAATGGTCAGTAAAACAATGAATGATCTGTAGATTGAACGAACGATCAGTAAATTATTTAACTGATCAGTTATTAAAATAATTAGGCTTGTTGATAAATCAAAAAATCAGTAAATTAAATTAAATTAAATGATAAATATAAAAATCGAAATGTATTATAATATGATTCTTATAGATAATATACATATTACAAAATGATAGAAGAAATTAAAGTGCTTCAATTATCCAATGCTACAGCTGTATTAAAATCAGCACCAATACTATTCATAAAGAAATGGAACATGAACAACAAACAAAAGCCAATTGATATTAGATTTTTTTTGTTATTTTGATAATGATATGTTCAAATAAAATGATGGTTGGTTTGAATATATACAACTGTATGCACCAAGCACAAACAACAACGTCTTAGAGGCAAGTAATAAAAGAATCAAAGATGATAGAAGATTTAGAGAACGTTATTTTTTCTAAAATTTTTCATAATAACTTTAAACACTGTCGATAATTGCTCATTGGAACAAGATTATTCTTCATTCATCTCGAAAATATTTGCAACAAAACTAACCAAATCTTTACAATTATGAACTTTAACAAATCAATGGACTAAATCAACCAAAGATTTAATTAGTATTTCCCATGATTTTTCAAAAACATATGATATACCAGCTCGGGATTGACAATCGATTATACAAATCGATTTAGATAAATATAAAAGTAAGAAGTCAATAAATTCTACTCAATTCAAAAAATCATTTGATATTTAGTGTATAGAAATGGAGAATGATTTAAACTGAAACACATCAAAATGCAACTGTCCAGTTTTGGTTTCTATGAATTATTTATAGAAACACGTTCTTTGTATGGGCATTCATTTGAAATATTGAAAGCCACTAGCAGCGGCAAAGGTAGTGTCATTCGATATGAAAAGAAAAAAGCAGACCAGCAAATATTTAAATTGTTTTGTTAGTACAATAAATAAACTTTTATTTTCTTCTTTATTCCGTTCAATCTTTGAATTTCTTGTCGTTTATTCTGTAGTTTTTCTATTTATTTTAATTTATTTTTCCTGTACTAAATTAATTCTTATATGAATAGAATTCATGTCTTGTGCGGATAAAATCTGCATTCTTACTGACCAAATTTGAATTTTTTATTCATGTAGTTTAAACTGGTAATAATAATTGTTTAAGATCTATTTTAGTCAAATTTGATGCACATAAATTTTCGGAATTACCTATTCTAAGTAGAGCTGTATGAATAGCTCTTGTTACAGATATGTTCGTAAACAAATCTTGTACATCTAAACTATATAAAAAGTGTTCATCTTGGTCTATTTTGATTTTAGATATTTCATGGAACGTCTTAAATATTGAATTTTGGATTGTTCCTCTTAATTATTGAATGAATGAGAATGCGTATCTTGATGCAGGTGAGAGCATTGTATCTCTTGTACTTATAATTAGTGGCATTGGACAATATTATTTATGTACTTTAGGTTGTCCTCTTATTCTTGGAAGATTGTCGATTGATGAAAATTCATTTTTCAT